GTTGGAATTTCAGCCAATTAATGCCCCTGACAATTCGTTGAGGTACTTAAGCCATCGACGAAACATATGCCATTCAATGCAGAATTTCAAGCTCTATCGAATGGTATACCACTTGCACGACTCACCATCAGTCATAGAGGGTTTCCACCGGAAAAATCTTGAAAAACTACAAAAAGTTGCAATTCCTGGCCACTAATGCTTCTGACGATTCGTTCAGATCAACAAGCCAACGACGAAAGATATACCATTCGATGCTGAATTTGAAGCTTTAGCGAATGGTATACCGCTTGCACGCCTCACCATCAGTTATAGAGGATTACAATCGGAAAAGTCTTGAAAAACTGGAATAAGGTGGAATTTCTACCCATTAATTCCCCTCAGAATTCGTTGAGGTACTTAAGTCACCCATGTAGCATATAACATTGCACGCAGAATTTGACAGTGTATCAAATGGTGTGTAAGTTGCATGATTTAGTATCAATAAGAAGGGTTTCGACCCTAAATAGCTAGGAAAGCTGCTAAAAGTTGCAATTTCTACCCATTAATTCCGCTGGCGATACAGTTAGTTACTTAAGCCGCTGACGAAGCATACACCGTTGCGTTGCAGGATGGGACGACTGATCCCCTACGGTAAAGCTTGCTGGTGTAGGCCTCAATTGAATGCGACTTTCCCCCCATACAAACGTTGGAAGCACAAGAAATTTTGGGTTTTCTTGGCATTTACTCTCCTCACTAATCGTTCAGCTGTACAGACCACTCACGAATCATGCAGCATTCGATGCCCTCTTCGTAGCACTATTGAATCATGTGTGATGTCTTCGTGGCTTATTCACTTTGACGAATAGCCCTGACAATTGGCTCTTAGGGTTACGAACTTTTACTATGTTTCCAAGCCTCTTTGGTGACACAGTCCTCTGAGATTGATCTTTAGGCGTCGAAGCGGACCATTATTGGATGAGACTGCGAAATCTGCATTAGGTGCGACATAATTCACCCATGGCTTATGCTCCAGAACGAAACGTCAGGAGAATTAATGGAAAGAAATTCGAATTTCTCTTGAAATTGTAGGATATCTATGCATCAGTGTCCTGTCACATTGATGCTTAGCCATACAAACTGTGCACTACTACAAAGAGTGTCGACTTCTGCGTGGACTGAAACGCATTTTCTCAGCGGCTTATATATTACAAGGAATCCCCAGCAGGATTACTTGGGAGAAATACAAACCTTCACGACTTTTCCTCCATTAATCTTCGAAGTGCGATCTCATTTGCCTTTAGCAATGCCACATATACATCAATCGAGACGGCACCAAATTCTGAATGCAATGCTGCAAGTTTCCGCAGTAGCTTAAGGACCTGAACGAATCATCGCAAGTAATCAATGCGTAGAAATTCCCACTTTTCGACGTTTTTAAGGTCAAAACCCCATCTCATTCATAGTTAACCGTGCACATTGCACTGCATTCCATAGAGCTTGAAATTTTCCGTCGAATGGTATATCTTTCGTCGATGGCTTATGTGTCTGAGCGAATGGTTAGGAGAATGAATGGGCAGAAATTCAAACTTTTCCTGATTTTGGTGGCTTTTGGTGTCAAAACCGTCTATGATTGATGGTGAGGCGTGCAAGTGGTATACTATTCGATAGAGCATGAAATTCTGTATCGAATCGTGTGGTTTTCAAAAGTGGCTTAAGCTTCTGTGCGAATCGTCAGAGTGAATACTTTCGAAAACCGTGTTTTTGAGACTTTTCAAGTACCCTACCAGTTATGGGAGACTTTTATGGAAATGATTTATATGCCATTGATAGAACATGAAATTCTGCGTTAATTGACCTATGACTCACGAGTGGCTTAAGTACTGAGGCGAATAGCCACGATTTTTACGAAAAATGGTAGTTTTTGCCTATGATTTTTTGATTTTTTTTGGCGTTTAGGTGGGAGTTTCGGGGGATCTGAGGACACCATTAGATAGAGCTCGTCGAGTTCTAGTTGGCTTACTAGTTTTCTTTTGTGGCTTAGTCCCTCAGGCGAACCGTGGTGCAAAATACTCGAATCGGCTGCTAACTTTCCTTACGTGTATTAATAAACATGTAACAGTCTTTTCTAAATTTCCAACATTTAACATTGATCTTAAAATTGTACGTGATGTAATTTAAAAAAATAATCATTTATTTTAATATAAAACAAAAAAAAAAAAGAAAACTTTTGATAAAAAGGTTCTTTCATTATCAGTTATGTTTGTTGCTATGATTATATTTAATAATTTAACTTTGAAATATTTAACTGTATCATTCTATAGGGTTGGTCGATCATTAACTACAATTGCTAATGTGGCATGTCATCGTTGAAGAAAAACAAAAACTTTAGATTTTATAATGATTTGTTAGGTTTTTACATATCTTATGCGTGGACAAAAAACATCGTTTAAAGCTTTAGCATGTTGTGGACTTATTATTGCAGGATCCTTTCTTGGTATTGATCAAGAAAATGCACTTGGTAAGATGTATAGTTAATCTATATCAAATAAAAATTTGTTTTAAAAACCAAAATAATTATCTCGTTAAAAAAAATACAAGCTGTGAGCTCAATTTCTGCAGGATTAAAATGTGAAACATGATGTAACTGCTATTGCTGATTATAGGAAGATTATTTTACCTCGATCTATTTTAGGACACATTTCTTCATCATTATTTTACTTACGAGGAAACCGTTCCAAGTGATAAATTGTTGTTTTGGTCGAACTTTGTGCATAATGTAGACCCTAGTGAGATATGAAAAATTTCAAAAAGGGCAAGTGCTCTGAGGTCTTCCTACCAGAGTTATAGTCATTTTATTGAAATTTTAGTCTGTAGGGCTGTATACACCAAAAAACTGTATGATGACATTTCGAGCTAAAACTTTGCCCACAGATAGGCCTACTTATAACTAGAATATCCTGAAAGTTTTAGTGGATAATATTGTTTTCTTCACGAGATATTCTGTTTCCAAAAAAAAACAGGAGATTTTTGCATCTTTCGTGGGTATGAATGATTTTTAGAATTCCTATATCTCATGAAGAAAACAATATTATCCACTAAAACTTTCAGGATATTCTAGTTATAAGTAGGCCTATCTGTAGACAAAGTTTTAGCTCTAAATGTCATCATTCAGTTTTTTGGTGTATACAGTCCTACAGGCTAAAATTTCAGTAAAATGACTATAATTCTGATGGAAAGACCTAAGAGCACTTGTCCTTTTTGGGATTTTTCATATTTCACTGGGATCTACCTTATTCACAAAGTCCGGCCTAAAAAACGATTTATCATTTGAAACGGTTTCCCTGTTAGTCTTTTAGATATGCAATAAGGAAGTAGTTCATATGTTACAACAAGATGTTATTAATATACGATCACAATGTCTGTAGAGGAGAAAAGTTCCAATTTCTACCCATATATTTCAAAACTCATTTTAGATCGAAAGAAGTCCTGAAGATCGGACGAAATGAGATCAATACTTGTAAGAATGGATCATATTAATTATTTCTTATTCGGAATGAATGCAAAGACAAAACTTTATAATGATAAAATTGCTAGTGCAGAAAAACAAAGTTGATGACCTTAACGTCCTTGAAAATTAGCGCTCGGTTGAATGTATGCATATATAATATGAAATAACTTGACTATTGAATTTACACTTCTTCATTCGGCTCTTACAAACAGACATAAAAAGCTTTTCTTGTAATATAAAAATCTATAAGTTTTTCGATGACTTTTGACTAGAAAAAAAAGGAATATATTTAGACTTTCTCTATCTAATATCATATCCATACACCGTTAGATAGAAGAAGTCTTTCTCTACAAGACTACACATAATTCCCATGTAATCACGAAACGCAAGATCGATGCGTTGAAACGCGGTTTCACAACAAAATGCGTCTAGACGCAGTTAAAAACGGTTTCACAACGCATTCAAATGCATTTTTAATATGAAACGCGTTGAGACGCAGTTAGAAAGTTTTGAAACGCGGCTGAACGCAGTTTTTGTATGCAACGTGTTGAAACGCAATTGTAAAAAAACTATGAACCGCGTCTCAACGCGTTTCATATTGAAATTGCGTTTGTACGTGTTTAATAAGAGTTTGACTGAACGCGTTCAAACGTGGTGTAATATGAGAAGCGTTGAAACGCAGTTAGAAAAAATTTTGAAACGCGTCTGGACGCAGGTTTTCTATATAAGGCGTTTAAACGCAATCAGAAAAAAATGAACCGCGTTTCGACACGTTTCTGAAAAAAATTTAATGCGTTTAAAAAAATTTTGTTTACGAACTGCGTTCAAACGTGTCTTAAATATGTTTTTCGTTCGCGTTAGGACGCAATCATATTTTCGAGTGCCTTTGAAAGTGTTTATTTTTTGTGTATCGGACGCGATTTTACCCAAAAATTGCTGCTCTAGAAGAGTTAACTGCATAATCAAAATCATCAGCTTACATGTATTTTATTCATCTAAACTTCATTAGACTTCTAATAAAGAATGTCGAGATGACGTTAAAATAGACAAAATTCAATTAAACATACAGTGAACAGTCCATATTTCTCTAAAGTTTGTAAGAAAAATGGTTAGATAATATTGTAATAGTTTCTAGCTATGCAATGCCCTTTCAGAATATTGTTAAATACTACTATTTAAATAATATTATTAGTAACTTTTCATCATATATTTCTACTAAATTGGTTGTCAATAATTATCTATTTATTAAATTTTTCGATAAAATTATTTATCATATTACCAGTGCAATAAAAAAGATCGTAATATTTTTTATGTGTAGTAGATGATAAAAAAAAGATGTTATTTTATTAAAAAAATAAAAAACTTATTTAAAAAAATAACTAAAAAGTCATCTTACGTGTTAAGACTCTTGAATTCGAAAAAAATATATGTTGTTAAAATAAAGTATTTAACCGATGAAATTCGTCTTCAAATATATTTTATTTTGAATAAGACAAGATTTCGAGTTAGTATAACTCAGCGGTATGTATGAACGACTTCTAATCACTGGTTCATCTGTTCAAATCTGATCGTCGTCGCTTAAGGTAAAATCTAATCCATTTGCCAGGGAAGGCTAAGACCATCAAAAAATATTGATGGTGGCAACTCAGTTCGAATCTGAAATGGATTATCATATTTTTTTCAAAATTTTTAGTTTTTTTATGAAACGCGTCCAGACGCATTAAATGTTTCATCTGGGACGCGTTTTCGCTAAAAATGCGTTTGAACGCAAGTCAAGCTAGAAGCGCATTCACACGCGTTTCTAAAGTAAATCGCGTTTGAACGCAAGTCAAGCTAGAAGCGCATTCACACGCGTTTCTAAAGTAAATCGCGTTTAAACGCTCCGTTTGTTTCACTGGGGACGCGTTCAAACGCGTTCACTCTTGGCGTTTCGCACGCAAATGAAACGCGTTTCAGACGCGTTTTGAGGCAAAAAATATTTACATGGGAATCCCATATTGTAGTCAAAACCTTATAATCATGTTTAATCTTGATATAAAAATTTTTGAAGTTAAATACAAAAAATTTATCATATTGAATTTTTACTCTTAGGTACTTTGTCAATGTTTGGTACATTTTGTGGTGTAGCATCAAGTATATTTGTTGCTTTAACTGCTATTTATACATCTCGATGTTTACCATGTGTTGATAATAATGTTTGACGTTTATGTTTATATAATAATTTTAATGCATGTATTTTATTTCTTCCTTTAATGATAATTTTTAGTGAATTATCAATTGTTATAAATTATTCTAAAATATTTAATTTACCATTTTGGTTTGCAATGACAATAGCTGGTTTACTTGGTTTTTCAATGGGTTATGTTACTGGTTATCAAATACAAATGACAAGTCCATTAATACATAATGTATCAGGTACAGCAAAATCTTATGTACAAACATTACTTGCTGTTATTGTTTATAGTGAAGTAAGAATTTAATTATTTAAAAGAAATATTTGATGTCTTTGTTTTTGCTTTTAAAGACTAAAACAACACTTTGGTTGATATCAAATTTATTTGTACTTGGTGGTTCAGGTCTATTTAAACATGTTCGAGCAACAGAAATGAAACAGAATCATAATGCAAATAAAAATAGTGATAATAATTCAACAACATCTTTACCAAAATGACTAGAGAAATAAAGACAATTTGAATAATTATGAAAAAAAAGAATCTCTATGACACTTTTATTTAATTTCCAAAAACACATACACATACCAGAAACCATATTGATATTTTTATTTTTATTTAATATAATTCTATACTTTCAGATGTCAATCGTAAAGAAAATTCTACTTGATATTTTACTTTCAAATGGCTGTGTCATTGTTGTAGAATGTGAAGAGTAAATTTTCCCAGTGTTTTATATTTTATTTTTTATAAAGTTATTGTGAGTTTTTTTTCTATCTAGGGATATGACATTAGATAAGATAAAACAAAATATATTATCATGTATTAAACGACAAGCACCATTTAATGAATTAGTTCATGATCATAAAAATTATTATTTAGAATCAGTTACATTAAGTGCACAAATTATTCCATTGTATGATGAACAAATTAAACTTAACAAATTAAAGTAAGAATCGAAGTATATTAGAAATTGTTATCTCACGAGCGAACCCATTCGATTGATAATCTCCGTTTGAACTCATCCTGATGAACTTGAAATTTTTTCCGCAATAATAACTCTCACTCACACCTTAATCGGAGTCGAAACTGAACAGTTGACCACTAAGTCTAATATATGGTGTAACTAATGAAGCAATTTTGAATTGAGATTATGTAGATTCTAATGAGCTATGAATATACTCTGAAAAGAGTTCGTATCATCTTTAGCTTATTGTTACGGAAATACTGCATGTTTACGGTGTGTTTTAAATGAATGTCGTGGTCTTAGAAAAACTGATTTTTGAATTTCAACTTGAAACTTGACATAGAAACAGGACTGAACGAAAATAGTTTTTTTTTTTTTTGGGGGGGGGGGGAATGTTTTAGATCTTGTCGCTGTTCCTATCCTAAGATATGATTCACAAAATAGCTCATTTAGGCCTACATAATGCACATTGTCTCGATTTAAAAGCAATTTATTTGATACGTCTACATCAAGTAGTTTATCATTTAAAAGCTTTTTAACTACGAGGGAACTATCTGAAGTGATATACCCGCCATTTGGGTTTACAAGAAGATCTCGGTAGGAGTAGAAAAATTCTAAAATATTCCATGACGATGGCCCTCTAGAGCCGAACTATGACTATTCTACTGAGTTTTCGATTCAGTTTTAGGTATTCATCAAAAAACCAAATAATAGTGTTTCAGTCTGAAATTCCACTAATAAACAAGTAGAATATTCTGAAAGTTTCAACCGACAAAAATGTTCCTTTGTTGAGTCGTTTGCCACAAATATCGAGTTTACTTGGAAATTCAATATCTCAGCAAAGGAACATTCTTTCAGGCTATTGTACTAGTCTTTCGACCTGTTTATGGACGAAATATCGTGATTTGATTTTTTTTGGGATCGAAAATTCAGTAAAACGGTTATAATTCGACTTCGGATCCCTATAGACACGAACCATTTTAGAATTTTTCCAGCCTTGTCCAGACGTCCTTGTTAATCTAATATGAGCTTAAACGGTTTGACAGATTCATACAATCATGTGATTTCGATTCCTATGCCTTTCTTGTCATCTTATAAAGACAATCTTCTACTTCCATTCCTTAGTCAACATAATATTAGTATACAAAAATAAAATACACAGTCATAGACAAGTTGAAGAGATGATTTATAATCCATCATGTGTTGTCATTTTTGTATTTAATATTTTCCTAAATTTTTTAGTCTATTTTATGGATATTTGAGTTTACGTGAACATGATGCTTTTCTTGATGAAAAAGACGATTTACCATTGATGAGTAAGTTTCAATTACAAAAAAAAAATTTTATTATAAATTTTTATTTTTAATCAAAAGGTCTTCTACTCGGTTTTCCACTTGATGATTTTGCTAGTACATTAGAACGTGAAGCATGCGAAGCTCGATCGTCATTAAATGGGAACATAATTTTTGGTCAGTAGAAAAAATAGGCAAATTATCGGTGCTAATATGAAATAGTCAGTACTAAAGTGATCAGTATTTAATTAAAAAATGGTCAGTTTTTTATATACAAATATCAGTAAAAACTTCCAATTTGATCAGTAGCAAAAGTAAGTTTTATTCTTATAAAGATATCTGTTTAGACTTCATAACACCATCAATATTCTGTATAATTTGTATATTGTTTTGCCCATTGATTTTCGATTGATTCTTCTGTTTCACTAGGATTATCTTATGTAGCTTCTTGAATCCAAACTTTTGTTTGATTTTTTTGATTTTTGTATTTATTCCATGATTTTCTTCTATAATTTCTTCATCAGATGCTTCACTTTCATATCGATCAACTCGTATTACTTCTATCTGTTTTACTCTTTGACACAGCTGATTGTGAACGAAAGGATAGAAGCAGAATATATATAGATGTCAGCGTTCAATCTCAGATTCAGTCCAATCTTAGATTCGTCTAGGCGAATCTCGAATCCGAGAACGAACCAGCCGAATGTCAGATCAGGAGAGAAGTTTTCAATAAAACCTGTATTAGTCTTTAAACAGACGTTGAGCTTGAATTCTTGTTGATGAACTGTGTTGAATTAATGGCATTTCAGGCACAACAATTGTCGATGCAGAAATTAAATTACGATTTGCAAAATGATGGATAATTTCTCATCAATGCTGTGATCGGTAGAAGAGCGTCCATAACCTTATGAATTCTACTTTAATTTCTGCATCGACAATTGTTTTACCTGAGGTGCCATTGCTTCAATACAGATCACTAACAAGATTTTTAATCTAACACCTACCAAAGAACTAATGAAAGTTTTAACAAAAGTTTCTTTCCTGATCCGACATTCGACTAATCCATTCTCGGATTCGAGATTAGCCTAAGCGAATCTAAGATTGGACGCTAACATAGATAAATATATGCCGTACGCGTCATCTGAACAACATAGTAGAAAGATAGAAAGAAAAAGTGACTCACACTACCACATATTTCGATTTTTTTTTACTTACCCTTTTATTCGAATTTACTGCTCTTTAAATATACTAGAAAAACCTAACTATTTTAATAATTGACCATTTAAATAGTGTACTGATCATTCATTTATTTTACTGATTTTATAATTATTTTGCTTACTGACCATTTCATTTCTTCTACTGACCACTAAAATGATAGCCTTATTAAATCGTTTAGCTGATATCCTTGCACAAGAATCTGTAAAAGATTTACAACGAAACGGTTTACAAGAAAATGATGAGAAACAATCGAATCTTGTTAAATCACAAAATTTATTACAACAATTTGGTCTTACTTCAGGTTTCTATTCGAGAAAAAAGCCCAAGAATAATATATTCATTTGAATATTTTTCTTTTTTTAAAAGATATTCGTCCAATATTTGTTCAAGTACAAGAACGTCATTCAACTTCACCTATATGTTTTAATCTTTCAAGTAGTTTATATTCTTCACCTATAGATATTGTTGCAAATGTGATCTTATCAAAATTATCTGCTAGTAATCCAGCAATGCCTAATGAAGAAAAGATGAAAATTGTTGAAGAATATAGAACACGTTATTGGTTACAAGCATTTGGGTGTGAAGAAAGAATCTTTGGTACTAAGCCATTAATACAATCACGTGTAAGATTGATTATTTAAATAGATTTTGTAATAAATAAAAAAAAACGACAAAAGAAATTGATTTTAAAAGTTGTTTCATGTTTTTCATTATCAATTTTTAGATTATATAGCAGTAGACAAAAGTCTTGACCAGGATATCTGCTAAAGATTTGTGTACACACCAGAAATGTTCATCGCGACTAGAAATCGGCCGCGATCTTAAAAGAGGTGCTGCACCGCCATGAACATCTCTGGTACACATACATCACGAAGATTGTAAATATTGGCATCGTGGCGCTATTATTACTTAATTACAAAGAGAGTCATGATGAATTTGCACCTATTTTTGTTGTCAGCCTCATCACCCTGGAAAGAAAGAGTATTCTGTGTTGACTGTAGAGCCTGCCGGGTTGGTCCTAAATCCGAATCCAGTCAGGTCTGGATCTGAAAAATTTCAATCAACCGGGTCCGGGACCGAAAATTTTGAATCCGATGGGCTCTACTCAGCTGACTCCTCGATTTGTAATACTATATCTTGGCTATCTACATTACTAATTTCATTGAAGTTTATCAATCATTTCAAAGACTATACTCATTTTATTGTTGTGGAGAAAAACCATATCCTGTCCTTTGAAGGTCAATAATTCAGTGATAGCTCAATGAAATGAGTTCTAACTTTTTGAACAACTTTCTCTAAAGTTAGACATAGTTACCAACAAGTTTCAGAAGCGGATATTTGCATTAACAAGAAATGGGGCATAGATGATAGTCTTGATGGTTTCAAGGATCTAGAAACATCAATACTCGAGCAAATGAACTTATCTTTTGATTGAAGAAAGACCGAAAATGAGATTTCAGCTACATATAAAAATATCAAGAATTAGTCATAGTCTTAGTAAGAAACAACGCAAAAAAGTTTTTAGATAGTCCTCTTTAAGTTACAATGGTCAGAGCAATAACAGCGTCACAATGCCAATGACCTACAATATTCGTGAAGTGCATGTACAAAAATTTTCAGACCTCCAGCAGATACCCTGGTTGAAACTTTTGTCCACTACTGAGCAGAGGCCGAAAAGGGAAAAATATTAGGCCTATATTAGATCTTTTTTGGTTGACAACATGACTTACTACCGAAAACATTTTTTTCGACAGCAACTGAACTGACTGATATTAAGTATATGCAATATCCTAATTAAACTTTTGCTTGGTTGTAACTTTTCCTTGCCTGTTTCGGCCTCTGCTATTGATACTGTTTTCAATTTTATCAATAAATAAATTTTCTCGTATTTAGTATGTTCAAACATGTCTTCGTCTTGATAAACCATTATATTTTAAATTAATTAATATTGAAAGTGCAACTGGTAATGGTAAAAAACGATGTATAGCAATGATTCATGAAGCTATTAAACAAGAAGAAGAACGAAAAAAACCACAAAGTAAATTTTATTCATCCATTTGAATTTAAAATTTTATTTTCTTTAAAGAATTCGGTAGACGAAGTAATGAAATTCGTCAAGTATGGAATGAAAAAGAAATAGCTTGCAAATATTTTTCTTTACGTATTTTATCTGGTCAATTAATTCCAGCTGGCGAATTTGATGAAGTAAATTATGGAGTTTTTTTTTTTTTTTTTGTGATAAATGATATTTTATTTTGAATTTTAAGGTTAAAATTATTATTGGATTATATCATGGTACACAACCATTATTTTCTGGATCAATTATGGAAAGTCGTTCAGTTGATACATTAAATCCTGATTGGCAACAAGAAATAAAATTTGATATAACATTAGTTAATTTACCACCAGCTAGTAAATTATGTTGTTCGATACATTTTCATCGACGACGAACATCATTATTAAATTCTGTAAGAATTTTTGTTGAGAGTGAAAATAAATAAATATTCACAAAAAAATTTTATTTAGGATGAATGGATCTGTATTGGATGGGCGAATCTCAATGTATTTAATCATAATAGTTGTCTTATACAAGGAAGACAAAAAGTACGATTTTGGCCAACAGAAATGAATAATAATAAAATGGTTTCATCTATGTATGGTTTTAATGAAAGAGCTTTAGCTGGTTTGTAAGATATTTTATAATAAATTTTTTTGTTTTTGATTAAAACAATCTTGGTAATGAATATCAATATCTATTAGGTATAAATCCTGATCGATCTTATCCAACAATCGAACTAGAATTTCCTAGTTATAAATATCAAATAGCAACATTATCACCACGTAATGGTTTAGCTATGCAAGCACAAACAAAAAATGAACAACTTTTACGTTCATGTGCATTCCAAGATGATGTAAGATTAATTAAATAATATATAGAAGTGATTTCATTGATTGTTTTTTTTATTATTTAGTTAGAAGAAACTGGAGAAAATATTGCTCAATCAGATTTTTATGATTGGCTTCGTTCAATTGAATTTGAATTAACGGAACAAAGTCAAGTTGAACTTTGGGATAGACGGTAGAATTTTTTTTTTCTTTTGAAAATATATAAATATAAATTTTATTTTCATAGTTATGAATGTATGCGTGTACCAGAATCATTACCACGTTGGCTTAAATGTGTTAAATGGTCAAATCATGATAATGTTCTTGAAGTATAATCATTCATAAAACAAAAATTTTTTTTTATTATTGTTTTTTTTGTATAGGCTTATAAAATTGTTAAAAATTGGCCGACAGAAAATATAGATCCATTAATGACCGCCCTCGAATTATTAGATGTTGATTATCCTGATCCATTTATTCGATTTTCAGCTGTTCGTCTACTTGATACACGTATTGATGATGATCGACTTCTACCTGTTATATTACAAATTGTACAAGTAAATAGCCGCGATATCTGGGTCCAGAAGTTTTGGATCTGACACGCTCTAGTCGTCTGAGAAATGTGTACAGTACACTCATCACTGAATACAAAAATCCGGAAAAAAGTATCTTGTATCTTCGAAGCAACTATCCAATTCTGATTAGAGAATTTCATCGAAAGTCGGTCCGAATACGGATAAGTTTGGACCCGACAGGCTCAATTCTCAACAAAGAGCATCATTGATTGTATTTGTTTGTAGCATAGATGTCCATCGCGGCTGAGAATCTGCCGCGGTCCTACGAGAGAGAAGGCTTCCGCAACCAAAATCCAACTCTACCGCGTCGCGGTAAACTATATAGGAAGCTGCCAGTGTCGGGATGGTTTTCAAAAAATCTTTCGAAAATCCTTGCTATCACCGTACTGAACTAGAATTGTTGGTACGAATTCATGAAGTTTTGCAATGTCTTCTAAAAAGAATCTGTTGCCGTTCTGCTGCTGCCGCGATGGTATTTTTTAAACATTTCCTGCGCCGCAGTAATGTTTAAAAGAGAACGCCGCCACCGTCACGACAGTGCCACTATGGACATCTCTGGTTTGTAGTAATGATTTTTATATTGTTATAGTGTGTTGTCATTGCTTGATAGATGTTTACTCACAGCACACGTGATTTTTTTCCTTTTTTTTTTGTACTGCTTTTTTTCATGCGTTCTGTCATGAGTCGTCCTTCCACTATATGTGACACATACGTTAAGGTTTTTTTTCCAATTCTGTTTATGTCACATATTTTTGGATTTTTCCTATAACAGGTATTTTCATTTTCTTCACTATATATTATTCGATCAATTGGATTCCTTCGATCCACCTTCTGCTGTTATCCGATAATGTATCCACATATAATCATAAGACCTACCATTATATATATGCATAGCAATTGAGCTTCTATCGAAAACATAATATAGAATGTGTTATAATTGACGTTATCCTTTCATCTATATCTTAATAAATCGTTTACATCCTAATCTCAACTACTCCGTAAGAATATGAAAATCATTATTACAAACACATAGAATTCTCGATACTTGAAACGCGATCTTTTTGATGAGAAATATTGTGCTGTATTGTCTTACTTCAGAAAACGAAATTGACTGGGAAAAAAACTAAAAGACTTTTTTCTTTTCTTTAGGCTGTTAAAAATGAACCATATCATGATAGTGCTTTAGCAAGATTTTTACTTAAACGTTCATTATTAAATCAACAAGTTGGTCATTATTTCTATTGGCATTCAAGGTAAATAATTATTCATATATTAATTTAATTAAATTTTAGCAAAAAAAATTTTTTAGAGTTGAATTAAAAAATCCACAATATAAAGTACGATATGGTCTTTTATTAGAAGCATATTTACGTTATTGTGGTGAATATGCTGAAGATCTTGGACGACAAGTACGTTCTGTAGATAAATTAATATATATTGCTGAATTGATACAAAATAGTACACATGATGAATTATATAATCAAGTTAGTTCTTAATAATAAATAATAATCATATACAAAATTCTATTTATTTAGAAAGGTTATCTTGCTCATGTACTTACGCGAGAAAGATATACTCAAAATCTTCAATATTTTCGATCACCTGTTGATTATAATATTGAACTTGGTCTACTTGTGTAAGATAATCTTTCGTTTTCGTGAAATACGATCTAAGAAGAGTGAGTAGACAGACATTACACAGAGGCTACAACAGACCATGGTAGAGATCTTCACAGACAATGACGCAGGAATTGCACTGACAGTTTTCTTTTTTGTTTTCTATTAAAGATGATTTAGTAAAGAGACGAGGTATTATCTTATAGTCTAGATCATTGTCGAATAATGTCATCAGCTCGACGACCATTATGGTTACGTTGGACAAATGGTTCTGAATATGCTGAACATTATTTTCCAACATTTGATCTTATTTTTAAAAATGGAGATGGTAAAAATTTTGAATTTAAAAAAAAGAAATAATGTATTTAAATTTATAGATCTTCGACAAGATATGTTAGCATTACAATTTATTCAAATGATTGATATTATTTGGAAAGCTGATGGACTTGATTTAAGGTTTGAATATTTTTGTTTATTGATAAAAAAAAAGGAATCAATTATTAAATTTTTCTTGTTTTAGTCTTTTACCTTATGGATGTTTAGCTACTGATTATTGTTCGGGTTTAATTGAAGTTGTAAAAAATGCTAAAACAATAATGAATATACAAAGATTAGGTGGTTTAAAAGGACAATTTCAATTTGATGCTAGTGCACTTTATCGATGGATTGCAAAAAATAATCCCGGTGCTGAAAAGTAATATTCATTTATTTGAAAGAGAAGATAAATAACTGCATGTTTTGTTTTTTTATAAGATTAAAAAGTGCAATTGATTTATTTACAAGATCATGTGCTGGTTATTGTGTTATAACATACGTTCTTGGTGTTGCTGATCGTCATCCAGATAATATTATGGTTAATAAACGTGGTCAAGTATGTATGAAAGATTTTCAAATGTGATACTTAGTTGTATTTTTCTTTTTTTTTTTGTTTCTGAAAATTTTAGTTATTTCATATTGATTTTGGACATATATTGGGAAATTTTAAAATGAAATATGGTATACGTCGTGAACGTACACAATTAGTACTTATTGATGATTTTGTTCGAGTTATTACTAATAATAATACAGAGAAAAATCCAATTGAAACACGTGA